CGCCACAGCCCTGTTGACCAAGTTTACCAAGTTGTGCGATTTCCCACTGTTGGAGAGCTCGCTGTTTGTGCTCATGTCGTACTCGACGTTCCTCATGGCCGAGGCTCTCGAGCTTTCAGGTGAAAGAGTTTTCATTCAACGACTGCCTGTACTTCGGGGGGGGAGTATAACTAAAGCTATGTTCCATTCTAATACAATATACTTAAATATTTATGTCAAGTAAAAACAACAATGTCTCTGGACTTAAGCAACAACTATAGTAATTAAACTGTTAATAGATTAGTCTCGGTGAGTTAGTTTATCTAACTTAGATATGTGGGATAATTATGGTTGATCTCAACAACACCTGGATTAAAACTAAGTGATAACCACTGTTGGTATGGGATCAGTTACCGAGATTTCTGAAGAAAAACCTGCGCTTCAATGAATAGCCGGCGTTGAAGATAATCGGCGGTAGAATTATGTTGAAGAAGATCTCGGGATCAAAGGTGGCCTTCTCTGAGATCTGTCGGTCGGCCTTCTCGTCGTACCGGTTGATGAGCTCCCCTTTGAACACATAGGCGTAGTAGCGCTCCACTGATGTGCCGGTGGGCCCCACCGGTGTCGGGCCACTGGTGTTGGTCACCACTGGGGCCGGAGTCATGGCGTTGTGGTCGCCCACCGGTACGTTGAATTTGATCCATAGGGCGTCCGGCGGTATCAGTTGCGAGTTGTTGGCCGTGTAGTTGTGCTCCGGTATAACACTAATGTTGGGCAGAGAATATTGGTTAAAAACTTGCTTCAAATGTATGCAAAGATTTGGGTAATTTGCTTATTATTTTGTTTAAGAATATCAAACTATAAATAATATTTGTTATTTATTCTACATTAAGTCTAGGATTTGTCTTTTAATTGACTTATTTATTAATATAATAAATAATTAATTGTTTGCAATCTATTATAAATTACTTTTATATAATGTGGTAAACAAACGTGCACATTAATTTATGTGATTACATAAATATGGGTAGTTATGCATTATTAATCAGCATATCGTTTTAAAGGGTGTACATAACTGACGATAAACTAATAATTACTATGATATATTTTTACGATCAAAATAAATACTTTTTGATCGATTTGTTAATGCAATGTTAAGCCCTAATTATGCACATATTATCTCCATTAAAATCCACATATTAACTGACCTTGATCATTATTGCATTAAATTAAAACATTAACATTCGGTATAATTTGCAATTATAGACATTATATAATATCATGAACGCAATTTAAATATAATTTATTACATTAAAAACATGGTTAAAATATATAATCTATAAATATTTTAAATATTAATAACAACAGAGAGAGAGAGAGAGAGAGAGAGAGAGAGAGAGAGAGGGGAGAGAGAGGGAGGGATGTGTATAATACCTGAGATGTGAAACTTGTGACTCGTTTCCAACATATCGTATAATAGCGCCGACAATAAGTCCGTAAAATATGGCCAAACCTGTCTCGTGCAGGAACTGTATGCGGCGCCACTTAAACAGCCATATCGTACACACAGTCAATATTAACAACAGGGTATAAGCGAGTATATTCAACGAGTCCAATCGGTGTAATAACTTTGCCTTCTCGTCCTGCCTAATGTCCAACAGTGCATAACTGGTCACTCTATCGGGCAGTATTGCCAGATATGTCGCGCAAATTGCCGCACATTTCCACAATAAGTCTCTTAATGTTATCGCCATTTATGCGGGGATTTGTTGAGTGTTTTTGTTTTGTTGTTATTATAATTACTGAGAATTATTTAACGCACAGAATATTCTGTACCAGAATTGTTGCACAAAAATATTTACACAATTCTTTCATTCGCTATCAAATGCCCTATTGTTTTGCCCATCAGTTTGTTTGGTTGAGATTAGCGTTAATATATTTTTCCATTTAATGTTATATTAATGTAAATTGCAGGCAATATATTTCACACATGGTAATCGTCTCGAGTAAAGCGCCCAGCTGAGATTTCCTGGAAAATTTATAGAACATTATGATAATTATTGCAATAAAATAATGATAATATTAATATAAACATGTATAAACATTAATAATACAGAGAAAAATAATGTTTACAAAAATATATAACATATAACACAAGTTGTGTTACACAACACAAATCACTGCGGGATAAACATAACAGTAGTAGTGTTGCCAACTCTGGGGTTACAAATAAATGTGTTTTTTTCATTAAATCCTGATTTTCACACTCTATTTACTATTGTATTTTAAATCGTTGTTTTTCACACATAAACAATCGTGAAGTTTTCAATTGTATTCTGAGCTATGTAATTATTGTATAATACTTACACTACACCTGTATTAAACAGGTTAAGCTGGTTGTTCACAATTTTACTCCCCTGTACTATAACGGGGTATTGACTGTATATTCACTAAATATTGCAATAATTTAGGAATATTTATTATATTACGAGAATTGCATTACAAGAATGTAATCCTAATATACAATACTTTTTATTACAAACTAATAATTAGTAGTTTTATTTCAAATGATTAATCGCCATGATTAAAATAAACATCCATTATTATTATACATAAAGTTAATAAATACATAAACATATAAAAGCAAATATTGTAATTAACAATTAATATCAGCAAAAAACATATAGTTAAAATTTTGAATAATAAATGAGCCGGTTTAGACAAACGCCCCTTTTACACAAACAAAGGTTAACTTACGTTTAATAAAACTAGCTAGATTAATTTAACAATTAAATAATAGGTTCAATACTTAACATTTACGAGACCTACTGCAGTGATTCAACACTTTTATTTCTCACCATAATTAAAATTAATTGCATTTTATATCTCACATTTGATAAACAGGCTGTTTAAAACAGCGATAACACAATTTTTCACCATAATGTAAATAACACACAGATTTAATACAAATAATTTATAATACTTACTGTAATAATAATAATCATATGACAATCATATTATGATTTATTAAAACTTATTATAATATAAACGCCATATTTTTCTAACCAAGGTTTACAAATGTGATTCAGAATCAAATTAAGTGACCAGGTCACAATAAACTATGTACAACAATAAACACAATCAACCCTGCACTATTTAGCCGGCATTTATTCAGTGTGTTATTTAAATGTATGTAGTCATGATATTTGTAGCCAATACAAGCATGTACAAACAATTTCACAATAATTAAACTAGTTAACTGTATTACAAATTGTAATTTACAATTCACATTAATTACATCGTTGTGCTTATTAATAATAATATTGGTAGATATGATTCATTAAAATACAAAGTGCTTTATAAACCACTGGCTTTCGTAAGGCATTTATTAAGTAATTACATGTAGAGTTCAATTAGATAACCATAAATGACTGTACAGTCAAACCAATTATTACTAGTTATATAACAACACTATTTATAATACATTTTGTAATAATAATAATATTCTGCATAACATTTAGTCATCGAATGGAACGAACCGTACGTAAGCTCGCGATGTTTGCGATGATTTTTGTTTTGATTTCTCTCAACTCTGACTCAATGTTTCTATTACTGTATCAATAGCTGTGTTGTTGACCATAAATAACGTGTAATTTTTATTTGTTTGCAAAGTTGTCGCAAAACTTTCCACTAATTGTGATAGTGTTTGTTGTATTTATTTAAGCATTTTAATTAACATAATAATTAACTGATAATTCACTTAATTCGAGCATAATGATTATATTATCATTTTAATTCTATTAGTTTGTATTTTATCATGTTCAATTTTATACTTTTGTAGTAATTAAGTTAATTCTAGCAAATTCTTTGTTTGTTATCATCATTATTTTATTTTATTAAATATAAAGCAATTGTTATAGATAAAAACAACAACCATGATAAATACTAATCAACCAATTGTGTGGTCACACTAATCGTCCACATCATACTTGACGCCCACCTGTCGTCTAATCTCATCCATAAGTCGGGCCAACCCTCGGGACGCCTCGTGTGGCATAACCTCACTCTCAGTGCGACCTGAGGTCAGACACCGGCGAACCTCTACGGCCTCGTGTCGTAGACCAGAGCTGTTGACAAAATTGCACACTTCGGCCGCCGGCGGGAACGCAAACTCATGCAACACGTCGTTTAAGTAGACTTTGTCGGCGCACCAGAACGGGAACGGTATCTATAGTTTGTAGGGAATAGTTATCAAGGTTAATTTTTAATTTCATTACTTTAAGTTAGTAACTTAATTTAAAGTATGCGACAATTATTTCAAATTATTTTGTTAAAATGTTTGTGAGGCAGGTGGATTTTTATGCACCTTAGTGAATTAGTATCTCAATGTTCAAGGTTCATTTAACTAGTAGAAATAAAATCACCACTCACCTTGATCGTGCCTTTGGTGCCGACAATATGCGCCTCACAGGACAGGTTCACCCGAGCGCTGGTCGCTATGTTGGCCGTACGGCCGTCGCTATACTTAAACACCGCCGACACGCTCTCATCCACTCCGTATTGGTTCAAATGGCCCACAGCTTTCACCTCCAGGGGCTGCTCATCACCAAAAGCCATGAGCACAACATTCAGTGTGTATATACCGATATCCATAAACGTGCCACCACCTAGAGCCTTCCGGGCCAGTTTGGCCTCGTCCGCCACAGCCTTACCAAAAGTCACGTCAACGTGATAAACCTGGCCAATCGCACCCGTTTTAATGGCGTTCATCACAAAATCGTACGAGGGCAAAAATCTGGACCACAGGGCCTCCATCAGGAACAGGTTGTGGCGCCGGGCGATCGCCATCAGCTCCTGACTGCCCTTCTCGTTGAGTGTTAGGGGCTTTTCTACCAACACGTGTTTGCCGTGCGATAGCACCAGTTTGACAGTTGCCAAGTGGTGTGGGTTAATGACGCCCACGTATACCACCTCGACGTCTGGGTCCCCGACCAACTCGTCGTACGTGCCGTACGCTTTGGGTATGCCGTGAATGCGTGCAAACTCTTGGGCCGATTTCAGGTCACGGGCCGCCACAGCGACCAACTATTTTGGTGTTGAATTATATGATTAATTACAATGGTTTAGTATAGAATAATCTAGCTTATTTTATCAGGTTTGTGTGCATGATAATTTTGTTTATAGTCTAAATGTGTTTTTAACATTTTCAATAGTAATAGGAATATAATTTTATTTTAATAAGCTTTTACACTGATTGAGTGTAATAGACTGTACTGTATTAGTCTATTGATTAAAATGACATTGATAACTTTTATTGGATAACTATACAGAACCTGGTGTTCATCCGATGGCAATATCCTGAGGGCTGAGACAAAGTCGTGACTAGGGTTGCCAACTCTGATCGACTACCGCCTTGAAAAATACAAAAATTTTCTAAATTCACCTTGACCAAACCTTGACCACCATTATTATTGCATATTTAATTATAAATATTTTTGAAATATGAACAAAATGTAAATTTATGTCTTAATTTAATTTAGTTTTATTATAATAAAGTGTATTTTCCATATAAGATATGGGCTTTTTAAAGACAAAAGTCTTTCTTATAAAGGGTTTTTAATAAAGGATTTGTTTTACTATTATATAAATAGGCAATAAATATTATTCTGGGTTTTAAATAGTGTGTTCATTACAATAAATACCAATAATAGACATACGGTAATTACATTTGCTCTCACCTTGACCTAATTATACCGAATGTTAATGTTTTAATTTAATGCAATAATGATCAAGGTCAGTTAATATGTGGATTTTAATGGAGATAATATGTGCATAATTAGGGCTTAACATTGCATTAACAAATCGATCAAAAAATATTTATTTTGATCGTTAAAATATATCATAGTAATTATTAGTTTTGTGTCAGTTATGTACACCCTTTAAAACTATATGCTGATTAATAATGCATAACTACCCATGTTTATGTAATCACATAAATTAATGTGCACGTTTGTTTACCACATTATATAAAAGTAATTTATAATAGATTGCAAACAATTAATTATTTATTATATTAATAAATAAGTCAATTAAAAGACAAATTCTAAACTTAATGTAAAATAAATAACAAATATTATCTATAGTTTGATATTCTTAAACAAAATAATAAGCAAAATACCAAAATCTTTGCATACATTTGAAGCAATTTTTTAACCACTATTCTCTGCCCAACACTAGTGTTATACCGGAGCACAACTACACGGCCAACAACTCGCAACTCCTACCGCCGGACGCCCTATGGATCAAATTCAACGTACCGGTGGGCGACCACAATGCCATGACTCCGGCCCCAGTGGTGACCAACACCAGTGGCCCGACACCGGTGGGGCCCACCGGCACATCAGTGGAGCGCTACTACGCCTATGTGTTCAAAGGGGAGCTCATCAACCGGTACGACGAGAAGGCCGACCGACAGATCTCAGAGAAGGCCACCTTTGATCCGGAGATCTTCTTCAACATAATTCTACCGCCGATTATCTTCAACGCCGGCTATTCATTGAAGCGCAGGTTCTTCTTCAGAAATCTCGGTAACTGATCCCATACCACATGAGTGGTTATCACACGTGGTTTAGCCCGGGTGTTGTTTAGATCATTATCCCACACATCTAACTCACCAAGACTAATCTATTAACAGTTTAATTAGTATAGTTATTGGCATACATATTTTAGTACATTATATTAGTAGAGAACATAGCCTTAGCTTTAGTTATACCCCCTCCCTCTGATTAATCTCACTCGTGCTAAACACCGTGATATATTTGATTAATGTTTAAATGACAACCCCCTCTGTGCCCCTACAGGTGCGATCATGGCGTACGCGTTCATCGGCACCACCATATCGTGTTTCATCGTGGGCTCAATAATGCGTGTATTGGTGTCACTAATGCCGGAGACACTCAAAGAGTTTTCATTCAACGATTGCCTGTACTTCGGGGCCATCATATCGGCCACCGATCCCGTGACAGTGTTGGCCATATTCAACGACCTGCACGTCGACGTCACGCTCTATGCGCTCGTGTTTGGCGAGTCTATACTCAACGACGCCATCGCCATAACACTCGCCGGCAGTATTGACTCGTTTGCCAAACATTATAACTTGGGTTTTGTGGCCGCAGTGTTCCGGGCGTTTGGCAACTTTGTGTATATTTTTGTGCTGAGCTTTTTGCAGGGCTCGTTCATTGGGTGCGCCACAGCCCTGTTGACCAAGTTTACCAAGTTGTGCGATTTCCCACTGTTGGAGAGCTCGCTGTTTGTGCTCATGTCGTACTCGACGTTCCTCATGGCCGAGGCTCTCGAGCTTTCAGGTGAAAGATAGATAGATAGAGAGAGAGAGAGAGAGAGAGAGAGAGAGAGAGAGAGCATAGGGAGCAAATTAACTAACCAATTACCTAGCTTTATGATACATGAATAAACTAATGTATATCTGTTTTCTATACCCCATAGGCATTGTGGCCGTCCTATTCTGTGGCATATGTCAGGCGCACTACACGTTCAACAACTTATCGGACGAGTCCCGGTCGCGAACCAAATCGATATTTGAGCTGTGCAATTTTATAGCCGAAAATTTCATATTCACCTACATCGGTGTCTCGATGTTCACATTCCCGCGCCATCTCTGGTCATTTTGGTTCATTATATTCGCTTTCCTGGCCATAGCGGCCGGTCGGGCCCTAAACGTGTACCCCCTGTCCATTATATTGAACTTTGGCCGACAAAACAAGATACCTATTAATTTCCAACACGTCCTCTTCTTCAGCGGACTGAGGGGTCTGTTTTGTATTGCATTTCATTTATTGTGTGTTTTGTGTTGTATTTACTATATCGAGGGATTAGTGTACATTTGTATAGTACACTATATCAGTGAACAAAAATTTTGTGAAATGATTACGAAAATCAAATTCTTAAATTATTTACCACTTTTTAATTAATACCAATCGCTTGGATTTGATTATCGAATCATTTATTACTCAGACTATTGTTCATTAAATCGAGGAATTAATGTAGTATTTAATTCTGTATTTATTCTGTATTTACGACATTTGTTAGTAAAATACAACATGAAATGCATGTAACAAATGCAAATCTACACACATTGCAAATATTTAAATTTAATGACAGCATATAACTAACACAATCACACCTACGGGTGTTGTTTAACCCTCACTACAGGTGCGATGGCGTTCGCGTTGGCCATACGTAACACCATAACAGAGCCGCGCCGACTGATGCTGACGAGCACATCGCTCATCTCGATCGTAACGGTCATCGTATGCGGCGGCTGTACGCCAGCGCTGTTGCAACAGCTCCGGGTGCCGGTGGGCGTGGAGGAGGCCGAACACGAGATGCTACAGTTCTCGGGCGTACGCCGATCCGGGTCAGCGCAGACGCCCCAAGACCTGCGCTCGCCGAGTATTACGGGCGGTCAGGACGGGCCCACTCGCAGCGCCTACGAGAAGGCATGGCTGGTCCGCAAGTGGTATAACTTTGACGTAAGGTTTATGAAACCACTGCTCACACATTCCCGGCCATCGCTTATGGACACCCTTCCCGACTGTTGCCTACCGTTGGCCCGATTGTTGACAACTACTCAACAGATGAGCGCTGATGAGTATCACCGGAGGGTAAGTGTGAGTGTAATGGACTGCCAGTCTGTTAGTAGCCAGACATGTGTCTAAAAGCAAAGTCAATGGCTAGACATGTGTCGTGACTGACACTTACATTAAGCATACGTTGATTTTAATGCTATGTTAATCCTATAGGACGACGAGGATAGCGATGACGATCTGGTCCTACAGCCCGCCGGTGGGGGCGGAGGCGCCGGGGTTGGGGGACTACAGGAGTCCAACTTTTCGCGCACCAACTCTACGGACTATCAGTCGACTGAGGAGTATAGCCGGGATACGGGTGCCTATCTGACCAACTCTGTGATCGCCACCACCGGCAACAATGGCTACAACACTAGCAGAGGTGGAGCCGCGGATAGTGGCCGACCGGCGG